AGCAACAGTGTGTGCCAACCTTGTGAAGACTTACAGAAAATGTTTCACCTCTGTCATTGCCAACAAAGGATATATAACTAAGTATTGAGATGAACTTAGCAAGTATATTTAAGAATGCCTCCCTCTCTCTGTATATGTGTTTTGTGTGTGTGTGTGATGGATATGCTTTCCCACCCAAGCTTTATTTAAGATTGCATGATGGGGATCAGATCCTTGAAAACATTGCTGAGCCGAAGCTTACAATCACAATTATTTCAACAGTCTGCAGATTTTAGAACTCTAGAATGTAATGTGTCTGGTGTGTTATATTAGAATGGTGAGAGCAATACTGATCACAGATTTCTCTATTGCCTTACATTTCCTATCTTCCGCCCTTTGTTTTGTCTCATGCTATTTACACCTATCAACTATCCACCATTATCTCAGAAGTGATCCAAAGAGTTGTAAAACAAAACCAAGGTTTTAAATATATTAATACTCAGAACATTTTCAGTCTTCTATCCTTCTGAGGTCGATAAAATGAGGACCCAGATTGTTGGGGGACAATATCCTGAAGTTGTGAACCTTTAGAGAGGAATGTAAAGCACTATGCATTTAAGCATATAAGTCTAAGTGCTCTTGCTATATATGGTTTTACCTTTGGAATAATGTGAAAATAGTGTAACAATTTTCAAAAGCAAGACAAATGATATTAGGGATTGAGAATGCATCCCAATTTATCTTGATAAAACTTAATAAGTTTTAGTGCCCTTTATTAGTGAGAAGAATAAGGATTCATATGGCTACACTGATTGCACTTGTTGTAATTTAATAAATTTCAGATGAATAACTTTTCTGAAATATCAATAATATGAAAGAGGGATTTTCAAAAAAATCTCTATGGCAATAGGAAATGTTACCCTCATGTGAGCCACAATGTGAAAAAAGTGATTAAACAATTTAAATGACAATAGAGAGTTCATGGGGAAGAGGTATTTAATTATTTCTCGAAGAGATCACTAAAAGAAAAAAGAAATGAAATCATCTTCCCCATTTATACATTGGAATGAACCTGTCTGGCCACTGGGTGTCATCCTTGATTCAAATGAGGATTAAAGACTTTCCTGAAGCAGCATATGTATCACTAACAGTTTCCACAGCAGTTAAATTCTACTCGATTTGATTATACGGCATATAGCAAAATGTTCTGCATTTAAATCAGCTACAAAATGGAATACTATGACGTAGACAAATTCAGTTTTGTCTCAGTGCCTTACTGGGTGACCCAATGATATTCAGAGGAAAATAAAAAGAAACAGATGACAAAAGATCTTGAACATTAGGAACTAATATGCCAAATTTGAAAACTGATCTTTTATCCATAAATAAACACTAAACAGGCTAATTTGGAAGACTGCAACTATAAACCATTTTAACTTCATTCGCTTCCACCCCCCCTACAGTTGACTTTTGTGATGTAATTCTCTGATATATTAAGACTGCCTAATGCAGGTTATATAACATTGATGGCACCATAACACTGTTCTGTATGTGAACAATCGTATTTATTGATTGAATTCTGCCACAAGAATGGATGAAAGGTCATTCCCCTTTGTAAACCTAGAACCAAAACAAAAAAGTCTATACCCTGAAAGAGCAGGGCATTGATCATTTACGCTAATGCTGTAGATCCCAGGATTATCTCTCTCCCGATTCTAAAGCATTCCTTCAATTTGCTATTAGGCAGCATAAGAAACTTGGAATCTGAAAAAAAAAAACACTTCTTTCTCTACCATCCCTCAGCATTCTACTGAGCATTAAATCTGGATTCAGCCCTTTGTATTTCATTACATTTTGTTTTCTGTATGGATGACCTAGTTTTGTTTGTTGAAGATTACACATGCTATATCTGCAATCCCATGATTGGCATTACTGTAGTTTAAAAAACATGAGGGGGAAAAAAAAACCTTGTTGCTGAAAGCTAGTTTCCTATATATAGCGACAAACTTTTACTTCTTCTGCCAAATTCTCTTGGGATTCTATAATCAGAAAGACTAGTACCTCTTACAACCTATTCTCCACGGAGTATTGTAAGTATCATAACCGCAGGACTGAATAGCTGCTCTCACATTAAGGCTATAAGGAGAATTTATCATGCAAAATAATAGATTTCACAGGGAGAGGGAATGTGCAAATTTCAGAAGTTATCCTATAAATTATGTTTCAGTATGATTCATGCCATGAATGTTTAGACTACCATTAAATACTACAACCCTACATCACAAGTTGGGGAGCAAAAGAAATTCTTTCCTGTTTTTCGTCTTGATATCAGGGGATTATATTTCAGGTAGGAGCAGGACAAATACTGGAACACTCTAACCCTTTCTGTCATTCTAATGTTTATTTCTGCCTCACTCCCAGTGACTTTGCTATTCTTTTTACTCACTCACAGGAAAATAATGGGTTATGTTATCCCGGAACAAGGCTTTAGAGAAGCAGGAGATGCTAGCACATCTTTTACTATAGCTATAATTTCCTGGTTGTGTGCAAATGTACCACGTCAGGTGTGCGGCTTTTTAAACTCCATCATACTAGATCACAACCACCTCAAGGCAGCAGGCCGTCTTTCTCCCTTGTGTTCTACAAAACAAAGAATCTCTGTGACTTTTGCCCATTCTTTTTTCTTCCCACACTCATTTCACCCCTACAATTTGAAACATGAAACATATAGCACACTTCTATCAAACACATTTGGAAATTTATTTATTTATTTAGCATATGGCACATGTTAGCCAGAGAATAGGCAAACTTTCCTGTCCCTACGTGATTTATTCACTCACAGATATCCAACCACCGAGCTGCCAACCTCAGCGGAGCGCAAGCTCAGGGTCTTACCTTGTGAGCCACCATAGCCCTCACACATTGGTAAAGTGGGGCTTCTGATCAGTGGTGGGTTTCCACATTTTTTACTACCAGTTTGCTTGCACGTGATGCTTCTATGCATATACAGAAGCGTCTGGGTGAGTGGGCGGAGCCTCCCGCCTCCACTACTACTGGTTCGGTCAATCTGGGCTGACCCGGGAGCAACCCACCACTGCTTCTGACCTTCAATTCCAGGAACACAAACTTAATGGGGGGGAAGCTAAAATTCTTGTTACATTGCAGTTTGGTTATCACAACTGTAATCTTCACAAATGAAGTCCCATTAAACAAAGAGTTATTTAAGGAAAAATGAAAGACTATATTAACTGGTGAATCTTCCCCCCTCCTCCACATAGTCTATATAGAATAGAGAAAGTGGTCTTCTTGATCAAGTATTTCTGCAACAATTGGCACCTACTGCCCTTTAGTTCAAACCAGATGAATAACAAGCTTGATTCTTCATGGTAAGAAAACAACACACTGATTAGCAATGTACTGTACACAGGCAGTCCTCACTTAATGACCTCTTGTTCAGTGACTGTACAAAGTTGATGGTGCTAGGAACGAGTGGAACTTACGATTGGTCCTTGGAGATCCAGACATTGCAGCATACCCATGTGATCACAATTCAGGCCCTTGGCAACCAGATCGAACTTACAATGGTTGCAGTGTCCTGCAGTTACATGATCTTCATTTGCAACTTTCCCTGCTCATTTCCCAGAAAAAAGTCAACTGGGAAGCAGGCAGGGAAGGTCATAAATCACTTTGGTTAATTCTCCTGCCCACCCAGCCCCCTGGTCTTCCTGAGCACTGCACCACACCCTCCTTTCCATGGCTTTCCTACACTCTCGTGGATCCATGCCCTCCTTTCTTCAGCCTCCTTAAAGTCACAAGCACCCATACCATCCTTTCCTCAGCCCTCCCATGCTTGCATTGATCCCGCCTTCCCTTGGCCTTCGTGTGGTAGTGCACATCTATGCTCTTGCCTCCTTGGTTTTCCTGTGCTTGAGCTGCAAGACAGCAACTCACATGCTGCTTGCATCAGGCTTCCTCCATGTTTGTGTGGCAACGCCACACTCCCTACTTGAGACTCTTCACTGCTTTTCACTTAATGACCCACATACATCTTGGAGTTACAATGGCAATCTGACTGCCTGGACTGCTGTTGTTAAGTAATGCAGTCAAGTGATGTTGTGCTTTACAATATCATGAGCAATGACAATCACTGTGATCCCAATTGCCATCCTAACCTGAAGATGTGCAGAAGAGAAGAGTTATATTAAGAGTTATATTATTATATTAAGCATACAGAGTTATGTCTCTCTGATTCTCTGTATTAAAATGCTCAAAAGGCTTTGATCTTCCTGCAACTGAAAAGTGATATGAATTTATCTGAATGCTTGAGCATCACATCGTATTGTGTAATCACAGGATCATTCCAGAAAGTTCTACACTCCTTTACAGTGATTTTGCAGGGTAGGAAACTTAAGTCTCCATTCATATCTTTCTTCTCTGTGCAAATTTCTTAGAACAATACCGTGATTGTGTAATGTTTCATGATCGCTTGACTATTTCAGAAAATGCTTGTTTTCAACTTGTGCAAAGACAGTCTTTTACTACTGCGAACATGTGCAAGATATACTAAGTATGTGTGTGTGTCTGAGAGAGACCGACAGATAAATTCTATCACCATTTCAAAAATGCAGTTTTTGAAAAAAAACAAAAAGTTGTGATTTGATGTTAATGCCTTATTTACTGCAGTAGAGAGAGTCAGAAGTCAATGTTTCCTTTTATTTTTTTCCCTACCCTTCCTCAGTTCTCTTCCCCCTCTTCCACCCCACTGTTCTCCTATTTACTTTTGTATTTTGTATCTTATATTTTATCTTATAAGTCAATAAAAACATCAAACCTAAAAAATGCAGTTTTTAAAGAAATGCTTCCATTCTTCATTCAAAAGGCAGAAAAATATGCCCCCTTCATAGGACCATATCATAACCCATGCAAATGTGTGGTTTATATTTATCAACACTTTTATAAGTAGAAACCAAAGAATTCAGCAAAGGTTAATATTACAACATATTGTCTAGAATGATACTTACGCTGGTTTCATAGTCTTGGAATGTTTCTCATGAATGTAAGCACCGGCTAGACCCCCAGCTCCAGAATTCAGGTACTGCAAGATGGAATTCCTCATTTAAACATCCTCTTGATTTCATCATTCAAGGAAAGCAAAACAAGGGTTTTTTCTGTTTTGGAGAGTACTGTCATTTTGTGATGTAAATGTGACCCAAATAACTATGAACCGAGGACCCTTAAAATAGGTCGTTGCTGTTCAGTTGCTATGTTGTGTCCAACTCCTTGCCATCCCACGGACCACAGTACACCAGCCCCCCCACCCCGCGTCCTCCACTGTCTCCTGGGGTCCTGTCAAGCCCATGCCGATTGTGCTGATGACATTATAGCAATAGCACTTAGACTTATATACCGCTTTACAGTGCTTTACAGCACTCTCTAAGCAGTTCACAGAGTTAGCCTTTTGCCCTCAACAATCTGGTCCTCATTTTACCCACCTCCAAAGGATGGAAAGCTGAGTCAATCTTGAGCCTGGTGAGATTCGATCTGCCAAATTGCTGGCAGCCAGTGATAAGCAGAAATAGCCTGCAGGACTGCACTTTAACTACTGGGCCACAGTGGCTCTTATATCTAATCACCTCATCCTCTGCAGCTACTAATAATTGTTCTTCACTCTTTTCCAGTAGCATACTGGGCACTTTCCAACCTGAGGTGTCATATCTTTTAGTCTTTTGATACCGTCCATGGGCTTTTCTTGACAAGGATACTGGAGAGGGTTGCCATTTCCTTCTCTAGTGGACCATGTTTATCAGAGAGCTCTCCACAATGACCTGTCAGTCTTGGGTGGTCCTGCATGGCACAGCTCATAGCTTCTTTGAGCTTCCCCATGACAAGGCAGTAATCCGTGAAGGGACTGTCTATTCAATTTATAGCCTTTCTTTAGATTGAGAAAGAACATTTAAAATATATCCTTCAAATTCTGCTGTGCATCAGTAGAATTTTTGTTTCATACTAATTTATGGAAAGTTCTCTCACTCTCATTTTTGGACTCATACTGCTACTTTTTATCCATTTTTTACTGATAAATCATTTTATCTAAGTGCACTATTCATTATCTACTTAATATGTAAAATATACCGAAAGTTGTGTGAAATAAATAATGGGTTATCCCAGTGGTGAAATTCAAAATTGCTTGGTGGGCGTAGCAGGGGAAGGATATTGCAAAATCCCCATTCTCACCCCACTCCGGGGCCAGCCAGAGGTGGTATTTGCCGGTTCTCCAAACTACTCAACATTTCTGCTACCAGTTCTCCAGAACCTGTCAGAACCTGCTGAATTTCACCCCGGGTTATCCTCTCTGACATGTTCCATGTTGGTTCTGAGTTTGTGCAAGAGCAACTGAAATTAATTACTACTAATTATTTTGAATGATAAATATATGCTCACCTTATAAGAACACCAGCAAGCAAAGTCAACTCCCCATTCGTGTAAATGTAGTTCTACATTGCCAACAGCATGGGCCAGGTCAAATCCAACAAAGCAGCCCTTTTAGACAAATAGATGTCATCATGTTTCTTTACATTTTTACTGAACTTTTTTTTAAAAATATACTTTTTTACTTCTACACAATGGTTAAGAATTTAAATATTTAAAAACAAACATATTAGACTTGATGACCTGAACTTAGAAACAGATGAGGTCATGTTCCAAAGTGGTTTTTTTCCCTAAATGGCAACAACATTTAGCTTCTCCTAACCTAATACATGTTATTTTATTGACTTGGGAATCCATGTTGAAAGAAAAATCTTTTTTAATATAATAGTCAGTCGCCCCCCATTCCCCCCAAAAGCTATATAGGTTACCTATCTTACATCTGCCTAATTTTCATGGATCCTAAAAACATGTTTTTCATTTATTTTGAAATATTTCCAGCATTTCCATATTGTGAAAACATGTTCACCCCAAATTGGAAATAAATTAAGAGAAGTATCTTAAAAAGGGTTAAAAATTCAGTTTAGTATATTTTTCCCCATGACTTCTATACACATTTCACTTCTGAAACTGAAAGATCATGTAAGACACAAACTATGGTTTATTTATACAAATTGCCACTTGATGGCAGTATGTTTAAATAAAAAAATAGCAGCCGAAAAATAAAATGTTGAAAAATATAGTACATTTCTTTGTATGGACTGCACACTGAAGAATATTTTACATATTTTTTTAAAAGCCTTTATAAGTATGGTGGGAGGATTAACAGCAAGGGCATAAATTCTCAAATCTTTTCTCAAATAAGAACACAAAGACTTAGGAAACTTTGGCTTCTGTCTTTTTCTCCATCTAAATTATTAAAGCCGTATTTCAATATATTAACTCTACTTGGCTGTATCTCCCTCTCTGAAATAATTGCATTTATAAGTGCAACATGCTAATTCTAATGAAGCCACTAATGAGGCTGCCAGCACAGAAAGTCCTTTCAGGGTGAAAGGACAAACTTGCAGACTGTGTAAGTTTCAAAATAAAGCTGAAAATGATAGATTAAAAAAAAATACAAGTGGGAAAATTAAACACTGCTGTGTGCTACTAATGGATTTTTTTTAAAAAGCCAGAATCCTTTGCCATCAAGGGAATGGCAGTTTTTTTTTCCAGGTTAGTGGTATCTCATAGAGATGGATTCCAGTGGTTTTTCAACCCCTTTTATTTTTTGGGGTGGGTGGGAACGTTGTGGATATTAAAGGTAAGGAACATTGAGTGCTGAATGTCTCAAATGCTTCATATTGCCATTCTCATCCTTCTATTTACAAATCTTGCTGCTGAAATGCCAGCAACATTTTGTTTGCTTTAATGGTGGTGGTTGAACTTCTGTTGGTTCTATCCTTAAATTTGCCTTGGTATTAATTGAGACAATAACTACTGAAGAAAGAGACACTGAAATCAATCAATCAATTTATTTGACCTTGCATTAAAATAGAAGTATTTGGAATGTATCAAAAGAATATTTAACAATGGAGGAAACCTCAGAATTAATAATAATATTTACCAATAGCTCATATGGAATAGATTTGTTAGTCACTAGGCAAGAAAATTCATACAAAATTTAACATAGTTCACGTCAAGATTAAATTGAGCCAGGCTATTTGTTAAATACTGTCAGGAAAGAGGAACAACCCAAAATTTCTATCCTATGATAATAAATACATTTGAAATAAGTAAATAAAGTAGTTCTGATAGAACAGACTATATGTAGATGAGAGTTATAAAGTAGTTGTTCATCTCTACATCTATAAATTGTTTACAATAACTATTCCTGAGAAATGAGGAAGGAAGGAAGGAAGGAAGGAAGGAAGGAAGGAAGGAAGGAAGGAAGGAAGGAAGGAAGGAAGGAAGGAAGGACGGAAGATAAATGGTTATAAAGAATAAGAATAAATCAGAAGGAGACAAAACCTGAAGCTGTACTACAGTGTGCTTGTTAAGTAATACTACACAATTTACAGGGAAAACAGAACACATTACAAAAGTCGGACAATTGGATGGTGATAGGATTAAACCAGCCGCATAGTATGTTTAGAATTAAATCAGCCACATAGTAAATTCATGTCATGCCATGCCATGCCTTGAGAATAAGATCTGACCAGAAAATATTGATTGAGTTGTACAATAAAGATGGAGAAATAAGTTTGAGATGATTATTTAACCTATTTAACATTTTACAGTGAACAGATCTACATGTAGGCACCATCACTCTGGAAAAAAACTCAAGAAATTGATTTGAAAAAAATAAAATAACTTAATTAGCAAATATCTGTCAATGAGTGACAATGATATTCCTTAAATCCCTTAGTGTAAGAGAAGCCTCTATATATTACATGTCTTTGTTGACCTCCTCCTCCTCTTCCTGCCCCCACCCCCACCTCCAGGTTCAGAATCAGGGCTAATACAAAACAAAAATACTGCATATTTCAGCTCTCGTTTGGAGGTATATACAAGAGATATTTATTTCTTCAAGGCTGGCCACTTGATTTTCATAATACTAGATGCCTCTAGAATATATAATGCACAGGCACATGCATAAAGCAAAAGGGAAATAAACAAAACACTATTTTCCAAGCATGGGGTAGGTCAGCCTTAGCCAGAACATTCTGCAAAAACATTTTAAGTTGGTTGTGTTCTGACTGAAAATACAAGCACACCTATCATTCTATCCCTTGGTATTATGCAAAGCACAGAAAACAAATAAGAAATAATAAACCAAAGAGAGTATAATCATGAAATGCATAAAAAGAAAACAAACAGGCTGAATCTAGTCTGTATCATCACTATCTATTCCTCTCCATGAGCTACTATCCTTGCAAACCATCTTATCTTCCACCAGCTCTTCACACATTCATTCATTCATTCATTCATTCATTCATTCATTCATTCATGTATTACTTTTAAGATTTAATCTTCATTTATCACATATTTTCTCTAAATCAAAACACTGGAATTCTCCTTAGCAAAGTTAACTACTGTAGTCTTGGCTTTCACTCTTGCTACATTTCCCTTTGCACAGAAGAACAATAATCATATTCTTCTGTTAAGGCGCTTGACCATCTTTCAAACACCTTAAAACAAGTTACACAATCGTTCAAAAAGCAGACCACTTCTATATTTTAATAACAATTCTGACCTTGGCTATAATAAACGATTTAATAATTCCCCAGTTATCTATCTCCAACTTAGCCTTTTAATGTTTTTATATTTATGATACCCTTTTTATTATTATTTTCTTCTTTTGTTCTGACTCTTTGTAACCTCATGGACTAGAGCACACCAGCCCCTCCCCCATCTCTTGGAGTTTGCCTAAATTCTTGTGCATCAATGACACTATCTAACCATCTCATCCAATCCCTTTCCCCATTTGCCTTCAATCTTTCCTAACATTTTCCACTGAGTCCTCCTTTCTCATTAGGTGGCCAAGTATTTGAGCTTCAGCTTCAGTATCTGTCCTTCCAAAGAACAGCTAGGGTTGATTTCTTTTACAATTGACTGATCTGATCTCCTTGCAGACCAAGAAGATTCTCAAGAATATTCTCCAGAACCACAATTCAAAAGTATCAATTCTTTGGCACTCAGCCTTCCTTATGGTCCAGCTCTCACAGCCATACATTAGTACTGGGAAAACCATATAGCTTTGACTATATGGACCTTTGTTGGCAAGGTGATGTCTCTGCTTTTTAATATGCTGTCTGGGTTTGCCATAGTTTTCTTCCAAAGGATCAAGCATCTTTTAATTGTAGGTCTTTTTCTTCTTCTACACTAACATTAATAGCATTTATTTCAATTCCTCTCTTCAATATATCATTATTCTCATACAAATCTCTGTATGATATTCCTTCCAGTCCAATTTATTTCATCATATTTACTTTCAGTTCTGTTCACTCAACTGGAGGCTCCTTGATCAGACTCTTTATCCACTTTTAAAGTATTTTTTTTTAGTTTTCACCAAATGCCCTTTCAGTTTTCTATACCTCTTTTAGACTTAACAATTTTCATTGTTCTCTTTGACTTATTCTTTGCCACTAACTTTTTTCCACTCTACACATTATGCAATAACTCTCTTACCCTCTGTTTTGCATTTTATAGGCGTTTTGTCCAAAAATCTTTTGTTTGTTTCTTATTTCCTATTAGCATTAAATCCACATGCTTCTATTGCACAGTGGAACATGAGATTTTCATCTGTTCCAAGCAGCTTCCACATCCTCTTGCTTTGTATCTATTTCCCATTCATTCCATTGCAAGAGCAAGTAACCTTCGAATATATTTTCCTGCTGAAGAAATACTTTCTTATTGCTGTTATTCAAATTTCAACCTAATTTCTTTCATGGCTTTTGTTGGAAAGGTAGCCAAACTAAAATAATAATGAAATAGATTTTTTCAGTGAAATCTTTTAAAAGTGTCCACTGAGCCCAACAATGAACCGACAAAAAAAGAACCTATTTCAATGCAGCTCATGAAAATACAATTCGTAAAAAAACATATTTTTTTCTGGCTACTACTGAAGACTTTAAAAAGAGGGAGAGAGAGAGAGATTGGATAACCATTAATCTGACATGATACAGGGTCACCTGCTGAAGCAGGGAGTTGGACTGGAAGACCTCCAAGGTCCCTTCCAACTCTATTATTCTATTCTAAAGAAAATTCACATTGAGAAGTCACCCTTCTTTTACCTGTCAATCTGTCTGCAAAGCACAAGATATAAAACAAAGTGACATAGCTTTTGCATTTGTCAGCAGATAGCCACACTCTCTTCAATGCATATGCAGTACATGCATACTTTTGCATTGTACTGTATTGAATGCCAACAAAGCAACAAAATGGCCAATTTCCAATACCATTTTTAGCAAAATTAGAAGTGGGTATGGACATAGAAGATCTGTCAGAAATAAATTGTTTCCATTCCCATTTTGTCTCAATCACCAGAAAGCTACCATGTTTCCCAGAAAATACGACAGGGTCTTATATTTTTTTGACCCACAAAATATGGCCTTGGGGGAAGGGAAGGG